GGAACGGTTGACCACCGATCGGAAGCCCAGAAGTGAAGGAAAAAGTCCGTACAACACCAAAAATCACAACCGCGTAGTTGGGGCCTTCAACCGAAATTCGAACGCCTCCGTTAGGGATGTGGCTAAGAAGCTGCACCTAAGCCGAAGTTTTGTCTAGAAGGCCAAAACTAAGGCTGGGCTTCGAACGTTCAAGGTACAAAAGGCCCCTAATCGCGACGAGAAGCAGAACAAGTCCGCCAAAACCCGTGCCAGGAAGTTGTACCTCAACATGCTGACGAAAGTTGAATGCTGCATCATGGACGACGAAACATATGTGAAGGCCGACTTCGAACAGATCCCCGGCAACCTGTTTTTCACGGCCAAGGATAAGTTCAGCGTTCCGGAGCATGTCCGCACTCAGAAGATGTCCAAATTTGCGAAGAAATTCCTGGTTTGGCAAGCCATCTGCACGTGCGGGAAGCGGAGTGCACCTTTCGTGACCCAGGACACGATGAACGGACAGGTGTACATAAAAGAGTGCATCCAGAAGCGGCTGCTTCCTCTCCTGAAGGCCCACAACGTCCCAACAATCTTCTGGCCGGATTTGGCCTCATGCCACTACTCCAAGGACGTGCTGAAGTGGTATGCGGACAATAAGGTCAATTTCGTGCCGAAAATGTTCAACCCTCCCAACACTCCGGAGCTCCGCCCCATCGAGAAGTACTGGGCGATTATGAAGCAGCACCTTCTTAAACGACCTAAGGTAGTGAAGACAGTCGAGGAACTGAAGAAAGTATGGGTTTACATGCAAAAAACGGTTGATTCACAGGTTGTGCAGAATCTTATGGCCAAGGTTAAGGCCAAGGTGCGGGCATTTGCGTATGGACTGTAAATAAAATACGAGTAAAATGGTAAAATGAAGTTTAATAGTTATTTCTCAATACCTAAAAAATTTGAAGGCAATCGGATGAAAACTCGAATTTTGCGAATCAATTTTGTGTGTTGCAATTTCATCGTGGACACCCTTTAGTTGACTGCGTTTATTGGCTGCCGTTATTCAGTGCGACTGAAAAATTTAATAATGGTTGTGAAAAAGTTGAGTAAACGCTCTCCAAAACTATTTTGCTAGCTTCTGCTTTTAGCTTTTGTTCAGCTAGTTTACAGCACAACGCTGGAAAAGTTGGCTTATAAAGCTGAAAATGTTATTTGGGATATGGCTGACCGATGAAACAAAATATATAATACAAAAAACTTTCACTTTTGCCTTCAACATCACATGCACGTTATGCAGAAGAGAAAAGTAAGATAATAATAAAAAAGTTGATATTCCCAAGTAACAATTCTGCAATCATTTGGCATCCACTCTGATTTATGATGGTTTTATAATGGCAATGAATAATCCATTTAGTTTAAATACAGCATTTCACAGTGTAAAACGTTCCTGCCTAGCAGTTCTTCTTTTCGCTGTTTTAAAAACCTATTACAGTCTGGCGAGAAGTAAAAAACTGTCTTGTTTTAAAACTAAATTTAAAGTAGTTCTCAATCCCACCATAAAACTGTTCTATGAATCAATCATAAACTTAATTAGCAATTTTTTATTAATGTCTTGATAAAATACTTTATAAACCTGTTCTATCATTATAAAAGCAATTATAAAACCATTAGGTTTTAAATGAGAGCAAAAGGTATATATTGTTGCCTTTTAAGCTTTTAAAAGTGTATCATAAAATCTGAATAAAAATGCCATAAATCTGAACGGGTTAGGATCAAGCAAAATGGCTTTAGATAAATACAATTCAGTCTTCAAATTTTCTTCATAAAAGCCATTTCAAAACCTTATGAATTTGTTAAGGATTTCTTGAAAGCAAAATAACTTTTTACAAATGGCCCATGAAAATCCACTTTTATGCCTCCGCCATATTACAATTATTTTGTTTGTTTTTCACAATCTTCGATTTTCAATCTATATTTCCTTGGATATAACTTTATTTTAGTTTATTTAGCAATGAGAAAATATTTAGAATTCAAAAATCATGAGAAACAAAAATCTCGGCTAAGCTTAATGATCGATCTGAATAATGTTCTTTTTTCATGTAGAATAATTAGTAAAATCGATGTTTTCCGTGGGCGGACTCAAGTTTTTCGATGTTTTCACGTACATTTCACATCAAATTTTATATGGCACATAAAACTAGGCCACTTCATGAGAACTATTGTATTATTTTGGAAATTCGGCAGGACTTTTATACAACCAGTTTTTAATTATTTTGATAAGATCAGATGGTATTTATGAATCCTTTTTTAACTTGATTGTTGTTTTTCTAGTAAACTTAGCCAGCAGCTAGGGTAAAATGCTCGGATAATGGTTTTAATTGTTGCCAAATAGCTTTTATTGTAGCTTAAATACGGGTTTGAAATGGATTTCAATGCGTTTATCGTACAACCATTTTGCAGTAAATCAATCTTGAAGACCTTCGAAAATATACCCTTCAGAACCTTCTCCAGGGTGGTCCAACTAGACAGATTCTAGCATCAATGAGGTTTTGGTGGATGTATGGCAAAGCAGTCTTGACCAGGGTTTTATGAATTTTGTTTTATAGTAGCTTTGTAGTATTTCATAAAACTTAAAATGTTACTTGGGATTATATCTGTTTTGCTAAAAGATTAATGTTTTCAGAATTGGTGAATTTTATCCAAAAGATTTTGTACAATTCAATTTGTTGTATCAAGCTTTTTCTAAGAGTCAATGAGTTTTTTAGAAGTAGAATGTAAAGATTCACCATAAATTTGCAACCGCACAAAAGTTTGGGAGTAAGGCATCTCAGTTTATGCACTTTATTCGCACAATAAAATTACCCAGAAGAATAAGTTTTGTAAATTGATGAAGGAAAAATAAACAAATTCCATTTGATGGAAGGATGAAATTCATTCAGAACATGTTCAAAACAGTTGGTTACAATATAGTCATAAATAAGCTGTGCAAGTCAATCAAATATAACTTGACATATGACATTTGAGCCAAAACGCTTATTTTGGCATTCTGAACAAACGCCTTTTTTTTATGTTGCTCCCGCCTAGATCCCTCTTGGCTACAATCCTGGAGTTTCGAGATTCAAAAAAAAAAATCATCTTTCAGAAGAGATTACTGCACAAGCAGCAGTTGTCATCCTCAACTGAAATTTTATATATGTACCTACTAATCTATCTGATTTCATCGTACTTTTAAAGCACAACATTTTGGCTGTTTCCCGTATTTTTCACTTTTTAGACCACAGTTAAATTATGAACATAAGTAAACAAATGAGCTAGTTATGATTTCATTTAATGAGAATCCTGCCCAGAACATGTGAAAAATAACACAAAAATATTATTGTGCCATTGGCGTGAAGGAATTCAATAAAAAATAAAAAAAAAAATATTAAATAGCATTGATTTTCCACCAGAAAAGCTAAGAACTACAACTCACTCATCATAATTTGCCCTTGGAAACACATCAAGTAGAAGAGTTTTCCAAAGTGTGGTGAAAATTTGACCCCAAAATATTAGGCCATTTTTTGACAATTTTGATACCTGCCGGTAATCAGTCTGTTTACTGTAGTTACTCAAACAAAAACAAAATGTGGGTACACTTTTAAGAATCTACATTTAAATAAAAAACCTTTAAATTGACGTTCTAATATCATGAATAGCTTATTTGGTTGTGGAGTAATTCTTCTGAAAGTTGATTTTTTTAAATCTCGAAACTCCAGGGTTGTAGCCCAGAAGGATGTAGGCACTTTAGAGTAAAATAAAAAAAGGCGTTTGTTCAGAATGCCAAAATAAGCATTTTGGCCAAGTTGGCTCAAATCGGTGACATCGACCACTGGTGGTGTACCCACTTAAGCTGGAATGACCCAAATTGATGATGAAAAAATAAACAAATTCCATTTGATGGAAGGATGAAATTAATTTAAAACATGTTCAAAACAGTAGGTTACGTTATAGTCATAAATAAGTTGCGCAAGTCAATCACATATAACTTGACATATGTTATATATATAGATCCCACCTCTTGCGATTTTTCGTTATAAATGAGTTGAATATAAGTGACTAGACGTAAATTTTTACAGCTGAGATTGTCATATATAAGATATGTAAACCCGTTTATGACAAACTGTGTTGCTTGGGCAACGACCGACTAATCATATAATTACCAAAAACGGAATGTACGTTATGATATGTCCACGTTTCATCCATTTATTATATTCTGAAGTATCGCAATCGATTTAAACAAATCTGATGCTTTCTGAATCATCATACCCCTTAAATGCTGCACAGTAGGCATGGTCGTTATGATATGCGTGACGGATCTTCGCTGTGTTGGTGTTTGATTAGATTAGATTAGATTAAGGATGAGAAACAATGATGCTATTCAAATTTACTATTCATATTTATTGAATTTTTACGAAGATCATCTTCACCGCTATGCACAACATTCAGTTCTTGTCGGATTATCCTGAAATTTTGCGTTTGAGACTAGAGTCGATCAGCAAATCAGCAGAAAATAAAATGAAAATAATTATTAATTAAATGTAATTTAAATTACAACCGGTTTCGCTCCGCTGTGCACTAATGCATCGTATTACGATTCGCGAAACAATGTTTATATAACAGCTTAGCTTTCATTCAGTTAACATTCACCTCCAACTTACGCTGGCTTCACAGTAGCCACTCACTCCCCCACAGTATAACGCGTTCGTTAGGAACCAGGTATTGAAGGGAATTTAACTTTTAATTATTTATTACGAGCGAGTTAATTCCATTCATCGTTACTGCAACTCCTTCATCATCGTCTAGTCGTTGTCGTCGTCGCCAACAGCATCGGCATGACGTGACGATGGGTGTGTGTTTGTGTGTGGGTGGGACGATTGGCGGTTGATTTAATGAGAAATATTTTCCCGGTGATTATGTGATGAAATTATGAAGTTTTCTCGCTTCTGGGGTGGAAAAAGTCCTGAAAACGGTGGGACTAAATCTTACTTCTACGACCAGCCCCGGTGTCAACCCAAGTCGGGATCAGTTGTTTGGTGGCTGCTGCTGCTGCTACTGACTGTCGCTGACTTTTAGTGTTGTTAAAGTGATAAAAGTTTGCGCCGTGAACGACTAAATCGACCATATGGTTGTTTGTAGGTACCACCCTACAAGGGGGCACGTATGTTGGCTTACCTGTTGGAAAGAGATAGAGAAGAGGGAATGAGTGAGAATCACGGGTTTCTGCGGAAAGATGCTTGAACATTTGTTTGCATTCGCCTAGATAAGTTGCTCAAAACCCATTAGGGCTTAGTGTCTGTGCGCTTCAGCGAGGTGTTCGTGCTCATTCACGGTTCCCGGTAGCTTGCGGGAGTGCATATATAAACATCCTAGCGCATAGACAGTGATGCTTCTGCTTGCATTCAAGCGTTAGAAAATACGATCAACCGGCAGTGAAGGGCAAAATGGCAAAGTCGTATAAAAGTATCAAAATATCAAAATTGATCTGATTATTCCTACCGAGCAGACCATTTATCGACAGACAAAAACAAATTTAAACAATGTGGCTACCATTATCCAGATTACTGCTGCCGGATGTGGCTTCAGCATTAATCCCCCCCACTTACAGCGAAGGCTATTAACCGGGTCAGCAAAATGTTTTGTGTAACCAGAGATACAACACAGACATGATCCCCTCCCCCCATCCTCTGATTTCCAATTCAAATTATCGTGGTCTACTTCTCAGGACCGGTCTGCATACACTATCAGTATGCGTTTTGCATCCGAACGCCCCCACAACGAGGACGACCTGAAAGCATGATTCCAGCAGAGCATCTTTCTAGTGTACTGCTACTGTCTTCGATAAGAGGTTGCCACTTCAGAATCCACTCGACAATCGTCTTATCAGCTCCTTTCGCCTCCGCTGTGCACCATTCCCATCCAAGATCTCTATATTTGCTATTGTTCTTAGAGCCCTTCCACCACCGACTGCCGCCGTCTAACCGATCCGTCCGCAAACACCGCAAAGCCGAAACTATAGCGCCCTCTCTCTCTCAGAGGCAAACACAACCGCAATGCCTCTGCTGGGTGTTCGACGCAAAGCCCACCCATTCAATTTTGTGGGGCAGCAGCAAACAGAAGCCCTCCTCTGTTTGCCAACTGCAGATTCTTGGCACGGATGCTGCTGCTTCTTGCAAGATGCTTGCTCTCAACGCCCGCACTGTATCATCATCGCCTCGTCGTCGTCGTCGTTGTCGTCGCCGATGTCTGGTGGTGGTGATGATGGGTTGCATACAGAACCGAACGCAGGCAGCCAGTGGAGAAAACCCCTTTAGAATGGAAGTCAGCCACACAGCGAATTGACCTCGGACAAGTTGTTCTGTGTAAATCTTTGCCTTGCCATTCAGTATCCTCCGCCTCGGAGCCCATAAGACGGAGCAAATAAAACAACAAGAGAACGATGACGATGAGCAACTTGATGAAATTGGCTTTTCGTAAATTTGCATTCGAAACAACTCCCTCCCGGTTTGAGGATTTCGGAATTGGGTCTGCGCTGGATAGGGAGTTTGGAATTTGCGGGATGAATACTTGTTCAAACTTGAGCAAAGTTTCTAACGATCATGGGAGATGTTTGATTTGTAGTTTTCAAAATCATTACATATGCAGTATTGATGCTTGCATTCACCACCGGCACACTGCACGCCCGATGAGAGTAGCTCAAAATTGAATTTGCGAAATGTGGGGTTACTCAGTGAATGAGCAAAATTTTCCAAGATTGTCCAGGACTGAGTAAAGTTTTGTTCGATTTTCATCAGAGTTAAGCAGTTTTTCCCGGAAAAAGGAAGACAATTTCACTCACCCACTGAGAATCTCCACTTTTTGCAATTTTGAGTTGAATTCGACATAATTTTGAGTTACTTTCACGGGCTGTGTGCACTGGAGATGGGTGATTTCCCCGGAATAACATTAAACTAACCACCGCACCGCTAAAGCAACAACACACACACGCAACACCATGGGCGATGGACCGGATTAATGTTGGTTAGTTTCGTTTACACTTGCTTCCACATGTAATGCAATTTTACCTTGATAACAAGTTCAACGAGTGAAACGTGATGATTTTCACACCGCAAGTGTACACACGGTGGATGCTGCGTTTCGAATTAAATGCACTCTTATAAGTGCTTCGACTGCATCCAAGTTTACAGCTTTACCGTTTGATTTCGTGCTTGAACTCGCATTCTATATTACTATATATAAAATTACCATAGAACTGATGCAGTTACATGGTTTCTATTTAACTGTAGAAACAGTTCCACGTCAACTGAAGAATTTATTTTAATTTCCTCCCTCCGAATTCCATGAAAACTTCGGCTAATGGATCGCTAGGGACAATGAACCAAGTTTGTGCTGGAATCCAGCTATTTAGACTCTCGCCTAAGTTTACAAAATGGCGTATTCGATATTTTTCAATAAATACACACCGAAAAAAATCACAATTTTACGACAAAAAATTAATCAAAAAATCTGTTACAATGTAACATTACTATAAGAATAGGCAGTACAACTAACTACTTCTTACAGTTATTGAAATAGAAGAGAAGTTTTAATTTGCTAGTTTATTAGAAGATTGCTTTGATTGTTATTTGTATCTGAACGCCTACTGCTACTAACACTCCTCCTCTATCAGCTCCGGACGAATTCCTACCTCGATGCGTAACTTTTCTAGCCGCATCCGTTGAAGTGGCTTCGTTAGTATATCGGCCAACATGGATTCTGTTGGGCAATACATCATTGTAATTATTTTCTTCTCTTGCAGATCGCGAATGAAGAAGAACTCTGTGTCAATGTGCTTGTTGCGTCGTTCGACACGGTGGCACCCTTCAGCAAGCGCTACGAACTCCGCCTCAGTGGAACATGACGAGGATACCTGAGTTTGACTTCCTGTCACGTGAGTCTCCGGCCCAATCCGCATCAACAAACATTTCTAGTCCTTTGGTCGAAGTACCTAGATGGAGCTTATGATTACAGGTGGTATTTAGGTAGCGTAAGATCCTCTTTGCTTCAGACTAATCTTGAGTGTTTGGGCAGCTGGACTTCTGTGCCAAAATCGAGACACTTACTGCGATGTCCGGTCTTGTATGTACTGCTTCGTACAGAAGATCCCCGATCAGACTCTCAGCAAAAAAATAATTTTGATATCACATCAAAGTGGATGCACTTCAATCGTGTCGAAAATATGGTTTATTATTACTTGCCAAAAACGACAAAATTATCATTAATACAGTGCATCAACTCATATTACGCTGCTTTTACTGCATTTGTTTATTTTTGTGGCCATAAAAATTACATGAGATTTTCGACATAATCCATGAATTCTCTTGGATGTAATATTAAAATTAATTTTTTGCTTTGCTCAAATAATCGTAGTTATTGGGTTGCTGATCCATCTCCTCCTTCAGCTGATGTCGAGCGGTACCTTCGACGGTTTCGCCTTGTCCAACCAACAAAAACGTTGTCCCAACTTCCGGATGTACGTTGCTTGATTTACCTTGCACTTTTCTCTATCTCCATTCCAAGAAAATGACGGATGTCTCCTAGATCCGTCACGGTGAAACAAGTTCGAAGATGGTTGAAAATCGTCTTGAATTGCCGCTCTGTCTGTGTCACGATGATCATATCGTCAACGTAGATAAGGATGTACGTAAATTCACCGTTGCTCCGTCGTACATATAAGCATGGATCCGATTTCGTTGGTTGGAATCCCAAGTCTTTGAAAACGGAATCCACTTTCCGGTTCCATACGCGCGCTGATTGCTTCAGGCTGTACAGATTCCTCCTCAAGCGGCAGACGGTTTGGGGGACTGGAAAAAGTCGGGGGAATTCCGAATTGTTTTGTTCATCATCCAATATTCCTTGACCTCCTGATCAACTTTGCCGAAGAAATCATCCGTCTAAATAGTCAGGGTCTTGAGATACAGCAGCATAAATATATTCACTTTCAATGCTCACTAGCGCCACCTAGTGGAAGAATTCTGGATTGTTCTGTCTATCATCCAACAGTCCTTGACCTCCTGATCAACTTTGCCGAAGAAATCATCCATCTAAATAGTCAGGATCTTGAGATACAGCAGCACAAATATATTCACTTTCAATGCTCACTAGCGCCACCTAGTGGAGTAGTTCTGGATTGTTCTGTCCATCATCCAACAGTCCTTGACCTCCTGATCAACTTTGCCGAAGAAATCATCCGTCTAAATAGTCAGGATCTTGAGATACAGCAGCACAAATATATTCACTTCCAATAATCACTAGCGCGCACCTAGTGGAGGAATTCCGAATTTTTCTGTCCATCATCCAACAATCCTTCACCCCCTGATCAACGTTGCCGAAGAAATCATCCGTCTAAATAGTCAGGATCTTGAGATACAGCAGCACAAACATATACACTTCGAATGCTCACTAGCGCCGCCTAGCGGAAGAGTTCAGAATTGTTCTGTCCGTCATCCAACAGTCCTTGACCTCTTGATCAACTTTGCTCAAGAAATCATCTGTCTATATCATCGGTATCTTGAGATACAGCATTCAAATCATGCAAAATAGGAGATTTTAGGGCAAAACTGTAAAAAACCCCAACTTACCCTATCGTGCCCAAGATGAAACCCACTTCAATCGATTCCTGAGACTTTTTTTTCTATAAAAATAACTATTTTTAAGTCTCTTGTTCCAGCGAGCACCGAAGTTATTGAATTTTAACACATTGTTTCGATTTTGTCCCCAGTGTGCACCGGTAGGTGGTCGGATGACAGTTCGGTAATGGCACGGGGCTCAGAGCAATCGTCCGCCATGTTGGTGAGAACGATGTCGAGGTTGGATCCGGTACCAGCTGGTGAGTAGAAGGTAGGCGATTCCCGATGGATAACCACGTAGTGTCCCGCCTGCAGGTCCAATTACTTTTTGCATTGTCCCACAGAGAGTGGCGTGCGTTGAGATCACCGGCGAGGATAAACTTATCCTTTCGACGAGTCAACTTCTGGATGTCATTCTGGAGACGATCGATTGTTCCAGGGCAGTAGATGGCGATGAGTGTGATGGGACCACCCAGCGCTGCCAGCTCGACTAGAATGGCTTCAACGAACGATAGACGAAAGTCAGGCAGCATCCTGTACTCCAGTCCTCTCCTGATGGCAATGGCA